ATACATAAGGGGGGATATGATCTCCATGTATAATACATAAGGGGGGATATGATCTCCATGTATAATACATAAGGGGGGATATGATCTCCATGTATAATACATAAGGGGGGATATGATCTCCATGTATAATACATAAGGGGGGATATGATCTCCATGTATAATACATAAGGGGGGATATGATATCCATGTATAATACATAAGGGGGGATATGATCTCCATGTATAATACATAAGGGGGGATATGATCACCATGTATAATACATAAGGGGGGATATGATCACCATGTATAATACATACCAAAAAAGGGTCCTGCGCCTTTTTGGTGGGGGTGCGGTGCCATTAGAGCCATACAAAAATGCACACCAATCGCATGTGATTTGCACAGGAATGCGGTGCGGTTGCGGTGCGGTTCCAGTGCGAATCACATGCGATATACTGCACCACATATATGTGAACCCAGGCTTAAGCAAAAATTGCAGCCGCAGCACTGATTACAGTGACACAACTAAATTTCTCTAACCATAAATGCAGCTCCACTGGACACAGTGAGCCGGAACTAAATCGATCTACTCCTTGCACCCTACCTAGGAGGGTGATACATTAATGTACCATGAGTTGTAGTTATAGCAATTATTAGCTGGGGTTCCTTGAGACCTGAAGGTTATTTCAAGGGTTCCTCCACATTAAAAGGTTTGAAAAAGGCTGGTGCATACTGTTGCATACATTTGAATGACAATGCTTTTTTTTTTAATAAACTCACAGAGATGTTCTAGCTTCAAACCCCAATCTGCCAGTCTGCATATATTCCCTGGAACAGCCTTTCTGAACCTTTGCAACCTGGAGGAACCCTTGAAATAACTTTTTGGGTTCAGGGAACTCTCAATAATAATGCTGTACTGACAGCTCAGTATATTGGTGGGAAGGTCACTTTGAAGAATGCATGTCGGGAAGAATTAACCCTAAGCACCCATGCACACGTGACATTTTTACTGCGGCTGTTTTTGGCTTTTGACCTTTTTTTACTACAGCCAGTAAACCCCCCAGCATGCTATCCTATGTGTCCATCCACCCGACTCTACTCCCCTGCTGATCAGGCTTTCTCATATTTAAGGGCTGTCTTGGCCCTATGCCAAGCCTCCTCCTTGGGGATTAGCCAAGATCCCCTAAGTATGCAGATCAGCCCCTCCTCACCCTCACCCACTGCCTTCTAGATACTTCTGAAGTTTCTAGAGCGGGGGGGTATCAGGGAACTGATCTGCAGAGCCCTTAGCCCTGACCTAAAAAATACCTGGCTGATTCATCCCAGGCTGCTATCCAACTAAAAACACTAGCTAGCTTCCCCTGGCTAACTAGAGGGGCGCTACATCAGAATAAAAGGAAAATGAGTAAATGTCTGGATTTTAGCACAGCTGTATTGTTTCCTGGATAGCATCAATAAACTCTGGGGTGGCTATCGAGGAGCATCTAGAACAGACGTTCATATCAGCATGCATGTTTTGACTTTCCCTGTTGTGTGAAGTGGTTTTATATTAGATTGGTTACTTTCAGCCTTGTTACTAACAGTTATTATATACAAATAACTTTCTTCCCTCTGTACCACAGCCAAAGCCTGCCAAAATAGAATTAGTGATTTAGATAACTCTACTTTATATATAAGAAATAATCAAAGAAAATTCTCTGCAGGAACGGTGACTCATAAATGAGCAGAAGAAAGCCATAGAATGTCAAGATGGGCAAATGCTCCAAGGAACATAGAACAGAGCAAGAGACAGGTGAGAGCTACATAGGCATGGGAGCGGCTGGGAATGTAGCCTGGTGACATACCAATATGTCATTCAGGACTGCCAGAACTACAGGTATAGTAACAGTACTCCATTAAATGAGAGTTTCACATGATATCATGATGGTGTCTATCTATCTATCTATCTATCTATCTATCTATCTATCTATCTATCTATCTCCCGTTGAAGTGGCTGGCCTCAGGTGCTACACAGAGCTTAAACAATTCATCCTACATAAGTTGTACCTGTTTATCTGCAGCTGTCTTTCCTCTACATCCATTCAAAGTGAAGAATTCACACAGGATCTCTCAGCTCTGAAAGCAGGGGGCAGGGAGCTGAAGTTCCATCAATGAGGAGAGCTCTGAGAGCTAATTGGAGGAAATGACACTCAGTGGCGTCACTAGGGTTGGTGTCATCTGGTGCAATAAAACATGGTGTCACACCACCTCTCCCACCCCCATGGACATGATACAAGAGATAGCCAGACATAGTGGACATGATACAAGAGATGGTTAGAGACTGCAGACACAATACAAGAGATAGCCAGACATAGTGGACATGATGCAAGAGATGGTTAGGGGGTGGGGGAGGCAAGGAACACAGGATCAAAAATGAGCAGCAAGGCAACTAGTGATTGTGACTCTTGCCTTGCTGCACTGAGATACTGATATCAGTCTCACTAAATACACTGCCTGCAAATTGTGTGTGTTCTTCCTTGTAAGGTTTCCTATCACAACCTCCAAAAAATTGTGGTCAGCCAAATGGCTTCCATTTGGTTGTACCAATGTGTGCAATCGAAGGGACAGTGGACTGCAACAGAATACATATCCTTACATGGTTCCCATCACAACCCGCAAACAATTGTGGTCAGATACTGGCTTCCATTTGGTTGTACCAAGGTGTACATAAATGACTGTGGGTATCGATCTAAGGAACAATGGGCTGCAATAAAGTACATATACTCTACATGGCCATGTCAGCACTATGTAAAGCCTAGTACTCACTATAAGAAAATCAGACAACCGATCATCTGATTATCCACAAAAGTGCATTTCATGATGTAGCCGGAATGGTATTACCTTGTAAGAAAATTCTGGTCCGACAAAGACAAATATAGGCAAATGTAGAATGTAGCCATGTACTAGCATAGTAGAAGAGGAAGTGTAAGTCGTTCTTTGCTTTTGATCAGGCGCATTTTTTTTATATTCGATTACTGTAGACATTAACCCTTTCACCACTAGATCCATATGGACCTGGTAGCGGGGGGGGGGGGGGGGGGGGGTTTGTGTTATACACAATCAGGTGTCAGCAGTCACCAGGATTGTGTGTAAAACTGAGTGGCAGACTCCTGCCTGTCAGGTGGAAGCAGTCTTTTGGACTACATGTCTCATTAAAGAGAACCCGTCACCTCAAAAATCATCACATAGAGGACTTTGTGTCCGCTATGTGATGAAAAAAAAAAAGTTAAGTAAAAAAATTTTTTTTTTTTTTCAAAAAAATAAAGTTTCACTCAAGCACATAACATCCCCGCCCCCCAAATGTTGAGGCTCCCCCCACTCCCACACACAAACATAAATACACACGTCAGCCCAGCAACAGCCCCAAAACATCACTGCTCTAGAGGAGATCTGCATGGAGGATGGGCCAACATACCAGCAACAGTGTGTGCCAACCTTGTGAAGACTTACAGGAAACGTTTGACCTCTGTCATTGCCAACAAAGGATATATAACAAAGTATTGAGATGAACTTTTGATATTGACCAAATACTTATTTTCCACCATATTTTGCAAATAAATTCTTTCCAAATCAGCCAATGTGACTGTCTGGATTTGTTTTCTCATTTTGTCTCTCATAGCTGAGGTCTACCTATGATGCCAATTACAGGCCTCTCTCATCTTTTTAAGTGGGAGAACTTGCACATTTGGTGGCTGACTAAATACTTTTTTTGCCCCACTGTATATCCCATACATCGTGATCCACATACACCAACTCTAAGTGTCATTAGAATACAGTCTCAAAAATTGGTGAACCATCCCTTTCAATCCGCTACACTTCAAAATAGACCCGTGTACCACACTACTGTATACACATGTACAGTGCTCCTGTGTCACCCCTTAGTGCTCATCCGCTTCCAACACTCAATTGCGCTCACCTCCAGGTTTGACCCGTAATGACAGGTCAAACTATGCTTTTCCCTTTAACCCGGGAGGTATACTAGTACATAGATCTTCACCACCGTTAGCCAGCACTTATCAACATCTCCAGTTCACTCCACATCCATGTGAAAAAAAATGCTCCATATAGTGTAATATTGCCACTCAAAATAACCTTTATTTAAAACAATCTAGTAAAACTCACATTAAAATACGTCCTCCTGGGCACTGCAGAGTTAAAAACACGCTATACAGTGTTTCACTATAAAAGCAGGGACCCGGTGATTGACAGCCAAGGTGAGGGTGAGGGCAAGGTGCAGGGGATGCTCACGCCTTGCATGCGCCCCCTTCTCGGGACTGCAAAGTCACGTATATATACATGATTTTGCGCACCGGTGCCGCCTTGTAGTCATATTTCTGCAAAAGATGCAAAAACAGCTCTGGCAGCAAAAGAATTAAACGATGATCAGACATCAGTGTTCACGTCCGATGAAAAATTTCTAGCTTACACCCTCAGTTTTTTTCCTCTGAAAAGTCGGAATTGTCTGTCCAAAGAGCAGTACTAACAATCATATAATCGGCCGAATCGTTCCTTGTATGAAAATGTTCGTGCAATCTTCTTATCGTGTGTATGGGCCATAAATGGGCCAAATAAACCAATGACTTCATCGGGGACAGACAAAAATAGCTGCAAAGACCGTGCATGAAATTGCAATTCAGCTATCTGATATTTGATGACGGTAAACTTAGTTCAAAACTTATCACGAGATAAAAAAGTTAAACAAAAAAGAGATAAAAAGAAATACAATTAAAACAAAAACAAACAAAGAAAAAAATCAAACTGTAATTGGCTAATTCATTTCTATTTCCATGCCACGTAAATATTTGTCACATAAACCCTTGGACAAAGCCTCATATCCCTATCTCCATCATCTGGGCAAATATTATCCAGCTTGTGTGCTTTACTCATTACAGCAAAAAAAAAAAGAGGTTATCAACGCCAATTAAGCAAACAAAACTTTGATATAAAACTGTCTGCGAGGAGAGCAGCACACTTTCCTTGGCTGCACAGGAGAACAGCGATGGAACGCTACACCCTCTGCTTGTTGGTGGCTGCCCTCATCATAGGAAGTGAGGCGTACCTACCTATGAACTGTAAGTGTCCCTAGAATAGGGATTTTCGTAATATGGAGGATATAGCAATTAATACAAACTGTTAAAATGACATCATTATAAGGTTATATTATAAAAACTACATTTTAAAACCGTGTACTCAAATCTATTTATACAGATATAGGGTACTATGGTCAAATGGTGGTAGAGAGAGATACCGTCAATGCTACAGACAACAACAAACATGATGGATAGATAGATAGATAGATAGATAGATAGATAGAATAGATAGATAGATAGATAGATAGATAGATTACATATAGATAGATAGATAGATAGATAGATAGATAGATAGATAGATAGATAGATAGATAGAATACAGATAGATAGATAGATAGATAGAGCACATATAGATAGACAGATAGATAGATTACATTTAGATAGATAGATAGATAGATAGAATAGATAGAATAATAGATAGATAGATAGATAGAATACATATAGATAGATAGATAGATAGAATACATATAGATAGATAGATAGATAGATAGATAGATAGATAGATAGATAGAATACATATAGATAGATAGAATACATATAGATAGATAGATAGATAGATAGATAGATAGATAGATAGATACATAGATAGATAGATAGATAGATAGATAGATAGATAGATAGATAGATAGAATACATATAGATAGATAGATAGATAGATAATAGATAGATAGATAGATAGAATACATATAGATAGAAGATAGATAGATAGATAGATAGAATACATATAGATAGATAGATAGATAGATAGATAGATAGATAGATAGATAGATAGAATACATATAGATAGATAGATAGATAGATAGATAGATAGATAGATAGATAGATAGATAGATACATATAGATAGATAGATAGATAGATAGATAGAATACATATAGATATATAGATAGATAGATAGATAGATAGATAGATAGATAGATAGATAGAAAAAAATATAGATAGATAGATAGATTACATATAGATAGATGGATAGATAGATAGATAGACAGAATACATATAGATAGATAGATAGATAGATAGATAGATAGATAGATAGATAGACAGAAACATATAGATAGATAGATAATAGAAGATAGATAGATAGATAGATTACATTTAGATAGATAGATAGATAGATAGATAGAATACATATAGATAGATAGATAGATAGATAGATAGATAGATAGAGATACAGATAAATAGATGGGATAGATAGATAGATAGAAACATAAAGATAGATAGATAGATAAAATAGATAGAATACATATAGATAGATAAATAGATAGATAATAGATAGAAAGAAAAAAATAGAAATAGAAAGAAATAGATAGAAACATATAGATAATAGAATATATAGATAATAGATAGATAATAAAATAGATAGATAAGACAGAATACATATAGATAGATAGATAATAGATAGAAGATAGAAAATTACATTTAGATAGATAGATAGAATAGATAATAGATAATAAAATAGATAGAATACATATAGATAGATAGATAGATAGAATTAGATAGATAGATAAAACATAGATAATAGAAGATAATAGATAGATAGATAGATAGATAGATTAAATACATATAGATAGAAAAAATAAAAAATAGATAGATAAATAGAATAAGATAAAAATACATAAGATAGATAGATAGATAGAAAGATAGAAAGATAGATAGATAGAATACATATAGATAGATAGAAGATAGAACACAATAGATAGATAGATAAAAATAAGATAGATAGATAGAAAATATAAATAAAAAATAGATAGAAAAAAATAGATAGATAGATAGAAAGATAGATAGATTACATATAGATAGATAGATAAAAAAAAAAGATAGATAGATAGATAGATAGATAGATAGATAGGTAATAGACAGATCGATCGATTTTATTTCACACCTGTTTGCATTTTCATGGATTTTGTGTTTTTTTATATTTATTTTAATACTTTTGTGATGCGTTTTTCAAGCACTCTCACTAAAGCCTGTGAGGCTAAAAATTCACATTGTTGCACCAAAAAGCCCCTGTACTTTTGTTTTCCATGTATATGGGCTCAATAAAATTGATGGCAATCCTGTAGTTGTGTATTGTTGCACAACAGCCAATGCCCATAAGTCCTCATACACACGGGACGTTTTTACAGCGGCTGTTTTTGGCTTTTTGGTGTTTTTTCCTACAGCCAGTAAACTCCCCAGCATGTTATCCCAGGTGTCCATGCACACGTAGCCTTTAACCACTCGCCCTCCAGAAGATTTACCCCTCTTCCTGCACAGGACATTTTTTGCAATTACTTTAACTGACATTTGTGTGGGTCATGCAACTCTGCACCCTAATGACATTTCTGTCCTTTTTTTTCTCACAAATTGTTTTCGGTGAGATTTGATTGCCTGTGCGTTTTAATTTTTTTGCGCTATGAACAAAATGACCAACAATTTTGAGAAAATAACATTATTTTTGACTTTTTGCTATTAAACATGCCCAGTAAAAAAAATCTAAATTCTTCATAAATTTAGGCTAAAATGTATTCTGTTCCCTGTCTTTGCTAAAAAAAAAAACCCCAATAGGTGTATTATATAAACTAGTTTACGTGAAAGTTATAGCGTTTACAAATGGCGGTGTATATATACTGGATTTTTTTTTTCTAGTAATGGCGCCGATCACAACAACTTTTAGCAGGACTGCAGGACTGTGGCAGGCATTCTGATACTGGGGTGAACTGACTTGTCAGCGACACCAATACAGTGATCCGTGCTAATAAAAAGCACTGACACTGTACTAATGGCACTGGGCAGGAAGGGGTTAACATCTGGGGCGATCAAAGGGTTAACTGTGTGGTGTTTCACTATGGGGGCTGTGTGTGCTTCACTGTAAGCACACTGCTTTGTATGGCTCTGCTATACAGAGCCATACAAAGCAGCATGCAGGAGCTGACAGGGAAGAGATCTGTGTTGTTCATACACAGGTCTCTCCTCCGTCAGAGATGCTATGCAGAGCCATACAAAGCAGTGTGCAAGAGCTCACAGGGAGAGATCTGTATTGTTTACATACAGTTCTCTGCCTCCGTCGGTAATGCTCGGTGATCACCGGGTGTCGGCGAGTAATCACCGGCCAGGACCCAGCGATTGATAGCCGAGGCCGCGAATAGCAGCACAGGTAGGGCTTGCGCATGCCTCCCTACCCGGAAATGCATAATCACGTATATACATACGTGATTTTGCGCACCCCCACTGCCCTGTAGCAGTATATCTGCTTTAGGGCAGCGGGGGGGGAAAGCGGTTAAATAGGTTTGCAGGGTGAAGAATAATCCCGGTAAGTTCTGCGACAACAGAATGTCCTTGCGACATGTCAGGTCCAAATTATATTAGAAAGTATTTATTGGAAGAGTAAGAGAGGCTGAGAGCCGACTGCCATGTGATATAGTGGGAGAATCAACATTAACAGATTGCAGGCATGCCTTGAGCAAACACAGAGCTGTACTTACACATCATTATTTACACCGAAACAGACCGCATAGCCTGACCATAAACCTTTCCTGTCCTTCGGCTTCTTCAACTGTCATATCCCTGTGAAAGAATTTTAACAAAAGAAAAAGGTGTGACCTCATCACTCTACAGTCTCATAGCTCACATTCATTCACATTCATGCTATGAGCTGTTAGGAGCCAATAGAAGCTTTCCATGTCAGTCATGATGACATCATGGTGTGGGTGTGCCCAGACACGGCACACCTCTCATCACTTAAGCCAGGTTCACACCTGTGCGTTTTTTAATGCATTTTTGCGTTTTGCAGGAACGCAGTGCATGCCATTTATCATGATTTCCTATGGGACACCTATAGGTGGGACATCTATGCAGTTTTTGTGTGCATGTTTTTTGGAAAGGGTCAGGGACTTCTTTTCCAGCAGCAGTTTACATTTGTAGTCCAATAGACTTAAATGGAACCGCATATAAAACGCAAGTGCTACGTTTGCGTGCATTTTTGAAGCATTTTTGGCGTGCTTTTGATGTACTTTGCATTCCACATTTTTAATCTGTCCAGCAACAAGTTGGCAAAAAAAACCCCCCTGCAAAACACATCAAAAAAGCGCCAAAAAAAAAGCATGTGCAGAAACGCAAAATGCACTGCAGAAGCAGATCAAACACAAACCTAGCCTTAAAGTGTTGGACATACAGAACACTGCATGACCCCTGACCCCCTGTCTGGACAGCGTTGATTGACCCTGTGCTGATCACATGCACTCTCCGAAGAAAAAAAAAAACCTCTCTAGCAATACACAAATACACATCAAACTGAGCATGTGCAGCTTGCCCCCAAGGCTCTGTTCTATCTGCAGATGGATTGGGTACAGTAGAGAAGGGGAGGATCAGAGAAGTCAGGATCAAACAGCCTTTATACACAATGCAGAAGATTAACCCTTTAAGTTCCACAAGTAATAACAAGCATGCTTTACTGCATATACAGATGATTTTACTGCTGTGGGTTTAATAACACTTAAGGAGTAACTCCACTTTTGTTGAGAGAAAAAACATTCCCCTCTGGGTGATCTATGTGCATTGCAGGGATCTTAACACATTTTGTTGCAGATTCCTACCTTTTTTTTTTGAAGAAATAACTGTTTTTTTATTTGTTTGTTTGTTTGTGTCAGTGTTGAAAGTGATTCTAAGGGGGGAGACGTTATAATTATCAATCAGCTGCTGAGGAAAGTGGCAGGGTCAGCATCCCTTTAGACATGATTTCCCTTTGGGAATATCTCACCAAAATTTACGTTTTTTGCAGGGGATGCCCAAAATCTGACTTGTATCTTAGTGAAGACTTCTGGGAAAATTAGTGAGCCAATCACACAAACAGGAAATGACATTTTTGGGGGGCTATTTGTACACCATCTGTGTATAGAAATGCCTCCAGGTTGCCATATTGCATTTTACAGAAAATAATAGCACTGCAGATTGAAAAGGAAAGGTCATTTTTAAAAACATGCAATCAAAATATGACTTGGGTCGCAATTGTATACACCATATTATTTTTTTCTTATTTGCCATTTTTTTCCCACAAAAGATTTACCCTTTAAATCAGAATTGATACAGACCTTAAATTATCCTGGGCGTGTAAATGAAAAGAAGGCTAATTTGCATATTAACAATGCCCTTAGACTGTGAAGTGCCCTGTGTCAAGCCAAGGTAGAGAATATTATTATTATTATACAGTATTTATATAGCGCCAATAGTTTGCTCAGCGCTGTACATTACATGGGAGACAGTACCAGAGACAGTACAGTAACAATACAATGCAATACACGAGGGGTTAGAGGACCCTGCTCTTTGAAGCTTACAATCTAGGAGGGAGGGGATAGTGGTACAGGAGGAAATAGCTGTGGGGATGGAGTGGTAGGAAGAGTGGAGGAGATCTGCAATTATTTGAGGGCGGGGTAGGCTTCCCTGAAGAGATGGGTTTTCAGGGAGAGCCTAAAGGAGAGGAGAGTAGGTGATAGTCTGATGGAATGGGGTAGGGAGTTCCAGAGGATGGGGGAAGCACTGGAGAAGTCCTGAAGATGGGCATGGGAGGAGGAGACCAGGGAACTAGAGAGTAGGAGGTCTTGTGAGGAACGGAGAGTACGTTTTGGGTGGTATAAGGATATCAGGTCGGTGATGTAGTTTGGGGCAGTGTTATGAACAACTTTGTACGTCAATGTTAGTAATTTGAATTTGATCCGTTGGGCAATCGGAAGCCAGTGGAGGGATTGGCAGAGAGGGGTGGCGGATACGGAGCGGTTAGTAAGGTGGATGAGTCTGGCCGCAGTATTCAGGATAGACTGAAGTGGGGATAGCCTGTGGTGTGGTAAGCCGGTGAGGAGGGAGTTACAGTAGTCAAGTCGTGATATGATAAGGGAGTGAATGAGTTGCTTAGTGGTTTCCGGGGTTAGGAACGGACATATTTTGGAGATGTTGTGGAGGTGGAGTCTACATGAGTTTGTCAGTGATTGGACCTGGGGCTGGAAAGACTGATTGGAGTCTAGGTTGACACCTAGTACTCTGGCATGGGGGGTGGGACTGATGGTGGCACAGTTGGTCGTGATGGAGAAGTCGGGGGGGGGGGGGGGCGTGGGCTGGGGGGGGAAAACTAGGAGCTCAATATTGGAAAGGTTTAATTTGAGGAAGTGGAGTGACATCCAATCCGATATGTCGTTCAGTAGGCTAGTGATTCGGGTGGAGACTGAAGGGGTGAGATGAGGGGTAGAGAGATAGATTTGAGTGTCATCGGCATAGAGATGGTAGTTGAAGCCGTGAGAGTGTATCAGTTGGCCAAGGGAGGAAGTGTAGATGGAGAAGAGAAGGGGCCCGAGGACAGAACCTTAAGGGACCCCAACAGAGAGAGGGAGTGAGGGGGAGGTGGCAGCATTATAGGTAACACTGAAAGAGCGCTGTGATAGATAGGAGTAGAGCCAGGAGAGAGCGGAGTCTCTGAGGCCAAGGGAGTGTAGTAGTTTGTTGAGGAGGAGGGGGTGGTCAACCGTGTCGAAAGCCGCGGAGAGGTCGAGGAGTAGGAGCACTGAATAGTGGCCATTAACTTTGGTGGTTAGTACGTCGTTGGTGAGTTTGAGTAAGGCCGTTTCGGTGCTTCAGAGGGAAGAGAATGCGCCAGTAGAGAGGGAGAGATTAAAGATGTGAGTGAGGGAGCGTAGGATGGAGGAGGAGGGTGATCGTAGGAGTTGTGTAGGGACAGGGTCAAGGGGGCAGGTGGTGAGGCGGGCTTCAAAGAAGACCTTAGTGACCTCTTCAGTGGTAGCAGGGTCAAAGGAGTGGAGTGTTGAGGGGGTTTTAGTGTGAGGAATGTTAGGTGGGGTGGAGGCCTGGACAGTGGCGAGGTCAGAGGAGAGGGGTGTTGAGGGGGTTTTCGTGTGAGGGATGCTAGGTGGGGTGGAAGTCTGAGCAGTGGCAATGTCCCTATGAATTGTGTCGATCTTGTTTTTGAAGTGGTTGGCAATCTCATGGGCGGTGAGTGAAGTACTGGGTGGAGGTGGAGGTGGGGGCGGAAAGAGTAGGGAGTTAAAAGTAGAGAAGAGCCGACGAGGGCTGGAGGAGAGGGCATTAATGAGGGTCACAAAGTAGGCTTGCTTGGCAGCGTGGAGGGAGGAAGTGTAGGTGAGGAAGACAGATTTGTATTGGGTGAACACTTGTTGGGATCTGGTTTTGCGCCATAGTCACTCCAGCGCATGACTGCATCATTTGAGATTTTTGGCATGGTCAGTCTGCCAGGGTTGAAGCGGTCGGGGTCTAATGCTTTGCGTGGTTAGAGGCGCTAACGAGTCTAGAGCGGCTGACAGTGAGTTGTTATAAGCAGCAGTGGCCAGGTCAGGGCAGGACAGGGGAAGGATATTGTTGTAAAGTTGGTCGGCTGCAGAGTGGAAGGGGCAGGGTTCAAGTTGTGGAAAATACAAGCCCTACTCTACCTAAAATGTCTAGAATAAGATTTTTTTTAACTCCAATGTGTTTCGTGGGTATCGTTACTGCATTGTCTCCCTTTATATTGTAAAGTGCTGAGCAAACTGTTGGCGCTATATAAATCCTGTATAATAATAATATTAATAATAGATGACCACCTTATCCAAAACTAGAGTTAGACATACATTCTAGAAAGCATTTAGCAATCTAAACACTTCTGGCTCACTTCTGCCTCTGCTTCACTTTTAAACAGATAGGTGCGGAGTTCAACCCAAGTCAAGAGACAACTGTGGCGATGCCATGATCACTGAGGAGGAGTGTATGAAGAAGGGTTGTTGCTATGACAGTTCAGTGATGGACAGTATCTGGTGTTACAATCCATGGAAATTCGAAGGTGAGTAACATGCTGACTTGTTTTCTTCCTATTACTGAGCCCCTTTGTGTTTTAGCCCCTGTCTGTCTGTTAGAGGTAAGCCATAGTCCACATTAGCATGTTGCCAAAAGTATTGGGCCTCCTGCCTTTAATTCTTCCCAAAGGTGCTCTATGGGGTTGAGGTCAGGATTCTGTGCAGGCCAGTCAAGTTCCTCCACCCCAAACTCGTTCATCCATGTCTTTATTAACCTTGCTTTGTGCACTGGTGCGCAGTCATGTTGGAACAAGAAGGGACCATCCCCAAACTGTTCCCACAAAGTTGGGAGCATGAAATTGTCCAAAATGTCTTGGTATGCTGACATCTTAAGAATTCCCTTCACTGGAACTAAGAGGCCAAGCCCAACCCCTGAAAAACAACCCCATACCTATAACTCTATAACACATTCCCCCTCCACCAAACTTTACACTTGGCACAATGCACTCAGGCAAGAACCGTTCTCCTGGCAACCGCTAAACCCAGACATGTCCATTGGATTGCCAGACAGAAAAGCATGATTCGTCACTCCAGAGACAACGTTTCCATTGCTCTGGAGTCCAGTGGTGGCGTGCTTTACGCCACTGCATTCGACGCTTTGCATCGCACTTGGTGATGTTAGGCTTGGATGCAGCTGCTCGGCCATGGAAACCCATTTCATGAAGCTCTCTACGCACTGTTGTTGTGCTAATGTGAAGGCCACATCAAGTTGACTCTGCAGACAGTTGGCCACTTCTGCGCACTGTGTGCTTCAACATGCACTGACCCCAATCTGTCATTTTATGTGGCTGAGTTGCTGTTGTTCCCAGTTGCTTCCACTTTGTTATAATACCACTAACAGTTGTCCGTGGAATATTTAGCAGAAAAGGAAATATTACGGATAGACTTATTGCACAAGTGGCATCCTATCACGGTACCACGCTTAAATTCACTGAACTCCTGAGAGTGACCCATTCTTTCACAAATGTTTGCTGTCTGCATGCCTAGGTGCTTGATTGTATACATCTGTGGCCATGGAGGTTATTGAAAGACCTGAATCCAGTGATTTGGAGGGCTGGCCCAATGCTTTTGGCAATATAGTGTAGATGTAAACCCTAACAGAAACTAAGAGGTGGATTTACTAAAACTGGAGAGTGCAAAATATGGTGCGGCTCTGCATAGAAACCAATCAGCTTATGGGTTTTATTGCCAAAGCTTAATTGAACAAGATGAAATTGGAAGTTGATTGGCTACCATGCATAGCTGCACCAGATTTTGCACTCTCCAGTTTTAGTAAATCATCCCCTTAGTTTGTGGAAGCCATCATTTCACTCCAGCAAAGTTTGCACAGATTCATGTCTGTGTGCTGGTGTGCAATTCAGAATGAACGTATCCCCATTGCACAAATGCATTTAATGTGCATTGTTATGTGAAGCACTAAAGCAGGCAGTAGCGAAACCCTATGCAAAATGCACGTGAACAGCCACATTGAAGCATATGACTAAAGCTTATGGAGGTCTGGCAGAGCACTGGACAGTTTCCTGCTAGGAGTGATTTCAGGCATAGAATGTGCATAGCCTACTGTGATTGTTGTTGTTTTGGCATAATGAGGTATATTCTGGTTGAGCAGCCCACCATGGCAGCCATAGACTGACACAAATCCTTGTGATAATTGCCAGAAAAGGTCTTCTATGGGCCTTACCACATACCTTTCTGAGAAGGAGAGGAGTGACACCTTTTGGCACAAAGAATGTAGGCAAAGGAGACACCACTGCTACACCCCCACTTATGCAGGCCATGAATGAATCTGCAGCAAATTATTGGTTAAACCCACAGGTGATTTTCTTCCACCACTGTTTTTCCTTTATATCAGCTATTTAAAATAATGCATTCATGACTAAAGGAATCATCAAGCAAGATCCTTCTCATTACCAAGAACGGTGGGACATTGGTTTAAATGGCCACAGAAGACTTTTTATTTGCCAGCCAAAACAACTAAGTAAATAATGTTAAAAGAACAAACAATAAGCAATTTTGGCAATGCAACCATTGGGGTGTCTTTAAAGACACCAGTTATAACTAGAATCATCCGTGTCCTCAGCCAAGCTTCACCAGCTCAAAGACTTTACTAAACTCAAATGTTCTTACCAGGGGGCCTAGCACCCGGAGAACCATCAATAACCAATCAAGCAGAAGCACAATACCCCAGATGGGCCTCCAGTTTTTTTTTTTAATACTTTATTTATTCAGTACATACATGAAAGCCTCATACAGAACATAGTATATTGACTGGGTTATGGTCCTCCAGTTTTTAACAATTCAATTATGACTCCCCAATAAACCCCTGACCCACCAAGCTGTTGTGACAATCCATTTTTGTGACATTTTACAAACCCATGACCTTTAATGAACCTCAATTGATGGCAGGTGGATGGGGGAAACTTTCTTCTTCATCAAAACTTTTCAGAATGGGTACCCAGCATCCTTCACAGAAACTCTCCTTGTGACTGATTTACCATCCACCTCTTCATTTAGTTTTCTGAACCTGGGTATACTGGTACCGAAAATACCTACTGAACCAGCTGACTTTCAGTACATGTGTACAGCTGTCTGTTCAACAGAAGCCAGTCTAATGGCCAGTCTCTGTTGAATGGTAATGCTTGAAAACTAGCATTTGATCAGCACTTGCAGCCAATGGCTGCCATGCCGATCTGTGTATTTTGGTGGAGGAAGGGTCCCCATTGTCAGAATACAATAACTCGGTGAGTTTTTTTACATTGAAAGCGCTGGTTGAACGAAAAAAAAACCTCAACGTGTAAACTCTGCTTAAAGACAACAAATAACCAAGCAAGTGAAAGCACTATACTCCAGACATACCCACAGTTTTGTAACAATTCAACTATTTACTAACTTCCCAAAGACCCCCTGACCCTCCAAACTGCTGCGGCAATTTTTTTTTTTATTGTGACAACCCTTGACATCCAGCGAACCTCAAATCAAGGGTAGGTGGCTGGGGAAAATTCCTCTCCGCCTACATTTTTCAGAATAAAAACCCAGCAGCCTTCACAGGAACAACTCTTGCAGCTTCACCCTGCCCATCCGACTTTCAACCACCAATCTGGTAAGCTCTACACCCTGCCCATCTGATCTTCAACTATCAGTCTGGTAAGACCTACAACCTTCCCATTTAACCTTCAGCCACCAGTCTGGTAAGACTTACACCCTCCCATCTGACCTTTAACCACCAATCTGGTAAGACCTACACGCTGGCATTTGACCTTTAACTACCAATCTGGTAAGACCTACATCGAGGCATCTGACCTTCAACCAGCAATCTGGTAAGACCTACACCCCTCCACACTAACTTCACATTTAAACCCTTCTATGACTTGTTTCTCCACTTAATTGTCCAGACCCTCCATCCATTTTGTTCCTCACTATAAAGAGGTGAGATGTGTAGTGCAACACTTCTGGTGGTAGCATTTTTTAATATTAGTCTATACATGAAGAACATCTGAGAAGAGAGGGACAGTGGGATTTGGTTCCTAAAGGAATATAGCCCCTACAAATGAGTCATTTTGTGGGAACTAGATTGCTTCAGTATAATAACACAACAGCAAATTAGAGAGATCTGATAGGTTCTACATAGGAACCTGATTGTGTAGACCACGTTATACTGTATATTGCCCTCATTGTTGAAGACTGTTGATTCCTGTACTGATTCTTTAAATTGTTTTATGCAGCCACTAAGTGTAATCCAACGGATCCAAAGGCTAGAGTCAACTGTGGGTACCCCACCATCTCAGAGAAGGACTGCACAGACAAAGGTTGCTGCTTTGATGACAGCATTCCCGAAGTGGTGTGGTGTTACCAGCCAGAAATTCAAGCAGGTACAGTACATAGTATTCGACTGATAGCCAGTTGTCCATGGTTCTTTCTAACCAAAGATCTTTCTGCAGACATGCAAGTTCTCGTTGGGTGAACTTGCATGCTTATAGCTGCGGAAAAAGGAAGGAGGACCACTGTGGGCATTGGTGTGTCCTGGAGAAAATAATGGCATAACTCTATCCTTATAGAAAAAAGACAAACAAACAAACAAACAAAATATCCACTGAGCTGCTGCAAAAACACATATAAGTGATCCCACATTCAAAATAAACCAATCTGAAAAACAGTGTTGCGCTAGCTCATAAACGCACAGAGGTGGAGGTGCACAGATTTTACAGTGGAATTTTTTTGGAGCACATTCTATATCAAACACATTTCATCAAGCACAATAATTGGTTGAACTGTCACAACTATAAGATGTTTTATTGTATATCTTTGATATGTTTATATGTATATGAATATTGCGTTTATGAGCTAGCGCAACACTGTTTTTCAGATAATGCAGGCCATAGACGGGTCGAAAATCGGCCGATTTTTCTTTTAAAAAATGAAAAATCGGTCGTTCAAGCGGCCGACGTTACCATCAACAGTAAAAAAAATCGGCCGATTTTCATCCCGTCTACAGCCGGCAAAAAGTGTCCCTGCAGAGAGCTCCGCTATTTCTTTGACAGTTCCTTGACATTTATAGCGGTTGCAACAATGTATCTATTTGTATTCATTTAGGATACAGATGGTTTTATTCAGAAACAAATAGATACATTGTTGCAACCCTATAAATGTCAAGGAACTGTCAAAGAAATAGCGGAGCTCTCTGCAGGGAAACTTTTTGCCGGACTGGAATTCCTCTTCTTCTTCATCCTCTTCTTCTTCTTCATCCTCTTCTTCTTCTTCTTCTTCATCCTCTTCTTCTTCTTCTTCTTTTTCATACTCTTCTTCTTCCTCTTCATCCTCTTCTTCTTCTTCCTCTTCATCCTCTTCTTCTTCTTCTTCATCCTCTTCTTCATCTTCCTCTTCTTCTTCATCCTCTTCTTCTTCTTCTTCATCCTCTTCTTCTTCTTCGTCCTCTTCTTCTTCCTCTTCTTCATTCTCTTCTTCATCCACTTCTTCATCTTCTTCTTCATCCTCTTCTTCTTCTTCATCCTCTTCTTCTTCATCCTCTTCTTCTTCTTTTTCATCCTCTTCTTCTTCCTCTTCATCCTCTTCTTCCTCTTCATCCTCTTATTCTTCTTCCTCTTCTTCTTCATCCTCTTCTTCCTCTTCTACATCCTCCTCTTCTTCATCCTCTTCTTCATCTTCCTCTTCTTCTTCATCCTCTTCTTCTTCTTCTTCATCCTCTTCTTCTTCATCCTCTTCTTCATCCTCTTCTTCTTCATCCTCTTCTTCTTCATCACCATCCTCTTCTTCTTTTTCCTCTTCTTCTTCATCCTCTTCTTCATCCTCTTCTTCCTCTTCTTCTTCCTCTTCTTCTCCATCCTCTTCTTCTTCATCCTCTTCTTCTCTTCCCCTTCTCCTTCTTCCTCTTCTTCTTCATCCTCTTCTTCATCCTCTTCTTCTTCTTCTTCATCTTCTTCTTCTTTTTTCTTCTTCTTTTTGTCTTGCTCTTGCAGGTCACTGCTCATGCACAGATTTTTTTATTGGTAAAATATCGGCCAATTTGGCCATCATTGCCGCGAAAATCGGCCGATCGGCAAAATCGGCCAATTTTTTTCCAACTTTACCAATAAAAAAAATCTGTCAAAATACCGAAAAACGGCCGAAAATTTAGCCCACCAACGATCCGAAAATCGGCCGATTTTATTTTCGGCCAAAAAATCGGCCGATTTTTGACCCATCTATGGCCTGCATTACTCTACCCTTATGACCCTGTGAGATTGGGCAGAGACAGACTCCTACAGGAAAATCTCACCTGAGGGTCATTTTCCAAAGAGAAAATTAATTATTTAATATAACCTTCATAGGTACTTTGTGAACTAGAAATATATTAAATCATAAAATTTCCCAAAGTGTTTTATCCCATGGCTCATTTGCTGTAGGCATTATTAATCATTAATTTCTGCTTTAGGAATAGTAAAGCTGAATTCCAGGTATGTAACCAAATATAGAGGTTAAATATAGATGGGAGCTAATTTACCTGTTTTGTATTTCTGTCCCTTCAGTCCTAAGATTTACACAGCTCTACCACTCAGTACAGCTCTGTCTGGCAGGGGAGGAGACCTAGTTTTGAATTGGCCTCCATTAGAAATCAGTAGGCTTTTTCATATTACGGTCCGTAGGGATGCAAGGGTGGCCCTTCTGCATTGCCCAATTTTGGGTCTGTCTAGGTCTCTGCAGAAATTGGCATCCTACCTATTTATTTCTGCTGAACGTGCTATAGCTCAAGCTTGGAGAACCCTTTTGGTTGTCTTCCAGGGGGTGAAGACCCAGCTGAATGCTATGTTGATCAATGAACAGATGTCTAGCATTCTTCCTGATTCTCATCCGAGATTCCTTAAGGTTTGGGAACCTTGGATACGTTATTCCTTGCCATCCCTGCCTCCAACTAGTTATGGCCTCTTATAGTCGCTGCCTGTGCTAGCCCTGGATCCGTGATTCTTCTAGTTTCCCTTTCTTCCATGTTTTCTTTCTGATTACTTTTTTTTTTTTCTTGTTGTCGTTTTATGATCTTTTTCCTTTCTTCTAACCTTTTTTCTTTTCTCTTTTTTTTTTCTTTCTGGTAATATGTTGGATTACTGCTGCTATTACTTGATTTGGCTTTTTGCCGCCCCTCCTTGATATCCTTGGACATTTCTTTATTTGGCTAATTCAAGTCAGCAGGATGTATCTGTATCTGTATTGGTTTATGTGTTATTGTTTTGCTTTTTTGATGCCTAGTTTGCATGAGAGCTTAGGGCAAAACAACCTCCTACTAGCCAACTGCTTAGCACACTTATATGAGCTCTTGCCCCCCTAGTAAGAGCTAATACATAATGGATACGTGGGCATAGAAAAACAGGTGACCACCTTCCAAGTGTTGTCTTTGTGGGGAAAGAACGGATTAATTCATGTTTAAGATGCAGCAATGATTTAGTAGAGAAAAAAAAAGAAATATATATATATATACACTGCTCAAAAAACTAAAGGAACACTTTGAAAATACATCAGATCTCAATGGGGAAATCTCATGCTGGATATCTATACTGATATGGACTGGGTAATGTGTTAGGAACGCAAGGATGTCCCATCATTTGATGGAAATGAAAATTATCAAACTACAGAGGATTGAATTCAAAGACACACCAAAAATCAAAGTGAAAAAATGCAGCAGGCTAGTCCATTTTGCTGCAATTTCACTGCAGCAACTCAAAATGTTCCTCAGTACTATGTATGGCCCCCACGTGCTTATATGCATGCCTGACAATGTTGGGGTATTCTCCTAATGAGACGATGGATGGTGTCGGGGTATTCCCTCCCATATCTGGACCAGGGCATCACTGAGCTCCTGGACAGTCTGAGGTGCAACCTAGCAGCGTTAGATGGATCAAAACATGATATCCCAGAGGTGTTCTATTGGATTTAGGTCAGGCGAGTGTGGGGGCCATTCAATGGTATCAATTCCTCCATCCTCCGGGATCTGCTTGCATACACTCGCCACATGAGGCCAGGCATTGTCGTGCACCAGGAGGAACCCAGGACCCACTGCACCAGCGTAGGGTCTGACAATGGATCCAAGGATTTCATCCCAATACCTAATGGCATTCAGGGTTCTATTGTCTAGCCTGTAGAGGTCTGGGCGTCCCTCCATGGATATGCCTCCCCAGACCATCACTGACCCACCACCAAAATGGTCATGCTGAACAATGTTACAAGCAGCATAACGTTCTCCACGGCTTCTCCAGATACTTTCACGTCTGTCACATGTGCTCTGGGTAAACCTGCTCTCTTCTGTGAAAAGCACAGGGCACCAGTGGTGGACCTTCCAATTCTGGTGTACAATGGAAAATGTCAATCAAGCTCTATGGTGCCGGGCATTGAGCACAGGGCCCACAAGAGGATGTTGGGCCCTCAGGCCACCTTCATGAAGTCTGTTTCCTAATTGTTTGGACAGAGACATTTACACCAGTGCGCCTGCTGGAGGTCATTTTGTAGGGCTCTGGCAGGGCTCATCCTGTTCCTCCTTGCACGAAGGAGGAGATACAAGTCCTGCTGATGGGTTAAGGACTTTCTATGACCCTGTCCAGTTCTCCTAGAGTAACTGCCTGTCTCCTGGAATCTCCTCCATGCTCTTAAGACTATGCTGGGAGACACAGAAAACATTCTGGCAATGGCACATATTGATATGCCATCCTGGAGGAGTTGGGCTGCCTGTGCAGCCTCTGTAGGGTCCAGGTATCGCCTCATGCTGCCAGTAGTGACACTGACCCTAGCCAAATGCAAAACTAGTGAAACACAGTCAGAAAAGATAAGTAGGAAAAAAAAGTCAGTGGCCTCCACCTGTAAAACTGTTGTTAATTTAATTACCACCAAAGCAGCTGAAACTGATTAACAACCCCCTCTGCTACTTACCTGACCAGATCAATGTTCCGGGAGTTTCATTGACTTGATGCTATACTAAAAAGTGTTCCTTTAATTTCTTTGACCAGTTTATATATATATATATATATATATATATATATATACACACACATACAGGTGAAACTTGAAAAATTAGAATATCATGCAAAAGTTCATTTATTTCAGTAATGCAACTTAAAAGGGTGAAACTAATATATGAGATAGACTCATTACATGCAAAGCAAGATAGTTCAAGCCGTGATTTGTCATCATTGTGATGATTATGGCTTACAGCTCATGAAAACCTCAAATCCACAATCTCAGAAAATGAGAATATTACATGCAATCAATAAAACAAGAAATGTACATAGAACAATATCGGACCTCTGAAAAGTAGAAGCATGCATATGTACTCAGTACTTGGTTTGGGCCCCTTTTGCAGCAATAACTGCCTCAATGCGGCGTGGCATGGAAGCTATCAGCCTGTGGCACAGCTGAGGTGTTATGGAAGACCAGGATGCTTCAATAGCGGCCTTCAGCTCTTCTGCATTGTTCGGTCTCATGTCTCTCATCTTTCTCTTGGCAATGCCCCATAAATTCTCTATGGGGTTCAGGTCAGGCGAGTTTGCTGGCCAATCAAGCACAGTAATCCCACGGTCATTGAACCAGGTTTTGGTGCTTTTGGCAGTGTGGACAGGTGCCAAGTCCTGCTGGAAAATGAAAATCAGCATCCCCATAAAACTTGTCTACGGAAGGAAGCATGAAGTGCTCCAAAATCTCCTGGTAGACGGCTGCGTTGCCCTGGACTTAATGAAGCACTGTGGACCAACACCAGCAGATGACATGGCTCCCCAAATCAACATAGACTATGGAAACTTCACACTGGACTTCAAGCATCTTGCAGTGTGTGCCTCTTCATTCTTCCTCCATACTCTGGGTCCTTGGTTTCCAAATGAGATGCAAAAGTTGCTCTCATCAGAAAAGAGGAGTTTGGACCACTGAGCAACAGACCAGGTCTGTTTTTCTTTAGCTCAGGTAAGACGCTTCTGACCTTGTTTGTTGTTCAGGATTGGCTTCACAAGAGGAATACGACATTTGAAGCCCATGTCCAGGATCCGTCTGTTTGTGGTGGTTCTTGATGCACTGACTCCAGCCTCAGTCCACTCCCTATGAAAGTCCCCAACACTTTTGAATGGCCTTTTCCTGACAATCCTTCGGTCATCCCTGCTACTTGTGCACCTTTTTCTTCCACACTTTCCACTTCCACATAACTTTCTATTAACGTGCTTTGATACAGCACTTTGGGAACATCCAACTTCTTTTGCAATTACCTTGTGAGGCTTTCCCTCTTTATGGAGGGTGTCAATGATGGCTTTCTGCACAACTGTCAGGTTTAGCAGTCTTTCCATGATTGTGATTCCTACTGAACTAGACTGAGAGACCATTTAAAGGCTCAGGAACCCTTTGCAGGTGTCATGGCTTAATTGGCTGATTAGAGTGGGACACTTTGAGCCGAGAATATTGCACCTTTTCACAATATTCTCATTTTCTGAGATTGTGGATTTGGGGTTTTCATGAGCTGTAAGCCATAATCATCACAATTATGACAAATCACGGCTTGAACTATCTTGCTTTGCATATAATGAGTCTATCTCATATATTAGTTTCACCTTTTAAGCTGCATTACTGAAATAAATGAACTTTTGCACGATATTCTAATTTTTTTAGTTTCACCTGTATATATATATATATATATATTATACACACACACTATACTGTATATATACATGCACACATACTTTTGCCAATTTGGACAAGTGAGTGACTCTCTACTGTATTTCAAAGCTTAGATCCAGCTTAAGCGGGTCCATCAGAAATGAATGATTCTAGTAGGTAACTGTGAAGTCAGTAACGCTTTTTCTATTCACTTTAGTGGAACGTGACTGCAATGCTGTAAATCCAGATAAGAGGGCCAACTGCGGACCACCTGGTGTCAGCCCTGATGAATGCAGGGAAAACGAATGTTGCTTCGACAGCAGTGTAGCTGATGTACCCTGGTGCTTCAAACCGCAGGTTAAGAAAGGTTGGTTGTTCTGCTGCATATTGTATCAGTTTGTTGCAAAAATAAATACAAAAATTAATAATTCTCTCAAAAATAGATGTTGTAGTGTTTGGTAGGTGCTAGAGAGTCAAACCCCCTGAGAGTGTCCTTCATTGAGGGGAACTCTGCTGACGCTATCTCTGGGCTGAAATCCTGGGTTTGCACATCTGCCGTGCCCATTATGAGGAGCTTCCACCATCCCTGCTAGATTCTTATTGATTATGGAGCAGTGGTTCCCAACCTTAGTCCTCAGGTATCCCCAACAGATCATGTTTGCAGGATATCCTTCACCTTGCACAAGTGCTTTAAATCAGTGAAAATGGGCAACCAACTGCTATCATGGAGAATGTGAAGCTGAAACACACAAGATGGTGAAGAACATCCAAGTCTCCAAGTGGACAGGAACTGGGTTGGGGAATCCTAGACCTACATGAAGCCAGGAGTTGACTTGGATCATGTCATCTATAACAAAATATCACTGTTGGGTCATATCACCCTTTAACCGCTTACCAGGGGCGGACTGACCATTTGGAAACTCGGGCACCGCCCGAGGGCCCGGGGTCAGTAGGGGACTCCATGAGATGCCCCTGGTATCTTTTTCATAGGCTTTTTTGAGTTTGGGCAAGGACACAGGGGCCCCATGATCCCCTATTGCCCGGAGGCCCCATGAGTTGTCAGTCCGCCCCTGCCGCTTACAGACTGCCCACCTGCATTGTACTATGGATGGGTGGCTCATGCAGGCACAACAATGTACCTGTACGTCACTGGCTTCTTTCCGGTTCAGGGATTTTGTCAGCAGGTCCCGGCCAATGATTCATGGCTGGGACATGCTGATCAGCTGTGTCCAATCACAGCCCAGAGCTGTTGACAAACAATACAGGGCTCTGTACAGAGGGAACGATCTGTACAGAGCAAAAATAAATTTTCAGTAAAAAGCAGCACACATTAACACTTGTTAGGCACACACTTAACCCCTTTATTACCCCCAAATGTTAACCCCCTTCCCAGCCAGTGTCATTAGTACAGTGTATAGTATTATCAATGATCACTGTATTAGTGTTACTGGAGATGTCAGTGTCAGTCAGTTTGTCTACCTCACACCCAGTGTCAGTTACTGTCAGATTGCCTGCCACACTATCACAGTCCCACTGTAAGCGCCAATCACCACCATTGCTAGTATAAAAAATAAATAAATAAAAAAATTCCAGTATATATCCCATAGTTTGTAGACGCATCCCATAGTTTGCTTCACAGAAACCAATCCATATATACTTATTGGGATTTTTTAACAGAGACATGTAGCAGACTACATTTGGGTCTGAATTTAAAGCTGCGCTCCACCCAAAAGGGGAACTTTAACTACATGCCGCCCAGCCACTGTACATATACGGTGGCAGGGCGGCACTTGCAGGCAAAACCACGTTTTAAAACGTGTTTTTGTAAACAAATAGGGGGCGCGCGCGAGGCGCGCGCTGCCGCCCTATCTGTCCCGCGGATCACCGCCGCAGATGTCAGTCGCCGGGTCACAGCCGCTCCTTACCAGCTATCTCCCGGCGATCGACGACAAACAGTGGACAGACAGCACTGCTGCAGTAGCTGTGCTGTCTGTCACATCCCTGTCAGCTCGAGGATGAGCTGATATCGGACAATCGGAAGCAGAAGGTAGCCTCCCCCCTCCCTCCCTGTAGTCTTTTGGGACACGTGACAGGTCCCAGACGATTACAGGACCATTCGTGAAGCGCAGTGGGTACCTGTCTGTGAAGCCGCAAGCTGTCACAGCCGGGTGCCCACACTGAAGATGCCGACCGCCTGGAGTACAGGACGGCAGGTGAAACGGACTGCGGGGGACACACCACAGGATTGAGGGACCGAGGGACAGGTAAGTGGCTGTTTTTTAAAAGTCAGCAGCTACAGTTTTTGTAGCTGCTGACTTATTTTTTTTGACAGGGTGAGCAGAACTCCACTTTAAGAAGACATCTGTTTTCTACATTTTTATTATTGGATATGTTTTATAACAGAAAATAAAAAAATGTTTATTTTTTTTTCAAATTTTCATTTTTTTTCGTTTTATATAAAAAGAAAAAGAAAAAAAAACCCCAATGGTGATCAAATACCACCAAAACAAAGCTCTACTTCTGTGAAAAAAAATGATATAAATGTAATTTGGGTACAGTGTTGCATGATCACGCAAATACCAGTTGAAGTAGCGCAGTGCTAAATAGCAAAAAAATGGCCTGGTCAGGAAGGGGGTAAACAGTGGTTAAAGTAAATCTTTCCTAAGAGAAATATGGCAACTTTCATTCCTGTTCTTTCTCTCTCTCTTTGAAAATACTGTCTGCCAGACCCTATTTTACTTCCTGTTTCTATGACACCCTGTGTATCAGTGTCTGACTGGTTGTCACAGGCATAGGAAGCGAGAAGTAATCTTCCCAAAGGGGCTCCAGACAGAAAACAAAGTAGAAGTTCTAATTGTGCTAAAAAAAATTAAAAAATATAAAAAGTCAAAGTACAATGACTAAGTGCAAAGTGCAGGTCCCCATTCAATCCAATTTTATATTATCATAATAGATGGAATTGGGTGCTCAAACAGTGTTTAATGTAGTTCTTGTATACAAGTTATAGCCCTTTACAATGTATATTTTCTGTAACAGAGACCGTCGAATGCGCTGTCCTGCCCAAACAGAGAGTGAACTGCGGCTACTCCGGCATTGACATGGACCAGTGTTACAAGAAGGGCTGTTGCTTCGACTCCAGTGATCCCGATGCCGCATGGTGCTTCTACCCAGACATCACAAATGGTAATGTAGTCACAGAGTGAAGGGTTCACTATCAGTGCTGGGACAAGGTCATCTAGAGCCCAGGCAAACATATAAAATTGTGTCCCCCCCGCCCAAGATGTATGTGCATTAATGTGTCAGCAAATATCCCCCCCCCTAAAAAAAAACACAAATTGAGCACAAATCTGCATGCGCACCCCCTAAGTATAAAATTTTACCTCCTCCCAGCACAAATCTGCCCCCCTACTGAGAGGGCCTCCTTCCTATTACAAATCTTTGCCCCCACCCCCCATCTCTTCAGCTCAAATCTTCTCTCTCCCTATATGCACCCCCCCCCAAAAAAAATGTCCCCCTCCTAGAACAAATTCTCCACTTCTCAAATATCCTCTATCAGCACAATCCTCTCCCCCCACTCCAAATTCCCTCCCACAATTCCCCATCCTAGCACAAATCTCCTCCCCCTAAAAAATGTCACCTCCTAGCACAAACCCCTCACCCCCTCTCTAATATCACCTTTTTCTAGCACAAACCTCCCTCCTAGAGCACAAATCCTGTTCCCCCTCCTCTCCCAACAGAAATTCCCCCCATATCACCACCACTCCTAGCACACCTCCCCTCATGGTGCTCCCACCAACTCACATGATACCACAGTGCCTAGGGCAGCCACACCTCCTGCCCACCCCTTGTCCCAACGCTGGTTGCTATACCTAAACCACGTCACTATCATAATCATCCATTAGTGTAGATAGAGGTTATAATAACATTTTTGGGATGTTGTAGCTGTCCCCCGCGCCAGCTCTAAGCCAGTGAACTGAGTGATCACATGACCACTGATCGCTCAGTTCACAATCTTCTCAGAGCAGAGAGCAGTGACTGTCAGTCACCATTCTTCACTCTGCCCTATCAGCTCTCAGTGGAATGCTGGGATAGGCAGTGTGAGCAATTGGCTTCGGATCTCAGCCATGTGCTGATGACCGAAGCCAACTGTCAATCTGGCAGCTGAGTGGATCCCAACAATATTGCCGGGACCCTTCCGGATCCTGTAGCAGCTCTTTGGCGCCAGCTGGCAGCGTGCAATAGCCCACTATTAGCTGACTCACAGGAGTCACCTGGGTCTCCTGAGTCACAGGAGAGCAAAAGTAAGCACATTCTTGTGACCCAGAAAAGAAGTATTTGGCCATAATACCCTTTAAGGAGAGTCTATTTATTGGCAACTAGGGATACACCGATATATCGGCAGCCGAAACATATCGGCCATTAAATTATATCATTGGCATTTTGCAATAAAGAAAAAAGGTTGAGTATCATAGACATTCATGCAAAAATGCCCTCTAGTGACTTCAATGGAAAATCATGTCTCATAGACTTTCATGCAAAGTCACATCTCATAGACATTCATGCAAAAACGCCTCTAGTGACTTCAATGCAAAAATTGCATCTCATAGACCTTCATGCAAAGTCACTTCTCATAGACATTTATGCAAAAATGCCCCTAGTGACTTCAAAGTCACGTCTCATAGACATTCATGCAGAAATGCACCCTACTGACTTTAATGCAAAAATCGCATCTCATAAACCTTCATGCAAAATCGCATCACAGACTCTAATGCAAAGTTGCGTCTCATAGACATTCGTGCAGAAACGCACCCTAGTGACTTCAATGCAAAAATCACATCTCATTGACCTTCATGCAAAGTCACGTCTCATAGACATTCATGCAAAAATGCCCCTAGTGACTTCAATGCAAAATCATGTCTCATAGGCTTTTATGCAAAGTCGCGTCTCATAGACATTCATGCAAAAACGCCCCCTAGTGACCTCAATGCACAATCACGTCTCATAGATTTTCATGCAAAGTCGATTCCATATCGACTTCAATGCAATAATTCCCCTAGTGACTTCAATACAAAAATCGCATCTCATAGACTTTCATGCAAAGTTGCGTCTCATAGACATTCATTTCATGCAAAGTCGCGTCTCATAGCAAAAAAACTCCCCTAGTGACTTCAATGCAAAATCGCGTCTCATAGATTTTCATGCAAAGTCGCATCTCATAGACATTCATGCAGAAATGCCCCCTAGTGACTTCAATGCAAAATTACGTCTCATAGACCTTCATGCAAAGTCGCGTCTCATAGACATTCATGCAGAAACACACCCCTAGTGACTTCAATGCAAAATCATGTCTCATAGGCTTTCATGCAAAGTCGCGTCTCATAGACATTCATGCAGAAACACACCCTAGTGACTTCAATGCAAAATCACGTCTCACAGGTTTTTCATGCAAAGTCGAGTCCACATTAACTTCAATGCAAAAACGCCCCCCCCCCTAGTGACGTCAATGTAAAATTGCCAGCCACATTAATTCAATGTAAAAAATATATATATATATTCAAAACTGTCCATTTAGGTTTTTTTGGGGGTTTTTGGCGAAGTACATCCTGAATTTTTGGTTTCAGTTTCAGCACCAGAATTTTTATTTTCGATACACCACTATTGGCAACTAATATGGAAACACCGGATTCTGATTTCATGGATTTGAAGTGGTGGGAAATGTAGGGGTGTACTTATTGTTTTCCATACGACACATGAATTTAGATCATGAAACTATAAACACCAGGCCAATTTTATTTGTTCAAATAAAGTCATCATTTTCTATGGGGCGTACTTGCTTTGACTGAGAAAGCTTAGTTGATGTAAATCTGACCATTCCTTGATTTTTCCTGTCTTTCAGTGGTAATCGAGGAGTAAGAAGATCGCCAGGTCACTCACTGCTGATTCTGTCTCCATTCATTGCACACCCCGTTCTGTCCGATTGTTCCAGTTCCTGGTGTTCAGCAGTGTATGTTTCTATCTCCTGAACAATGTGTTTATGTTGCTTTCAGAAACAATACATCCATAAATCCCACTGCATTGTTGGCTTCATTTATTGTCTCGTTTGTACAACTATACATCATGTTTTAAAAGGGTCAGTCCATCCGGAATTGGCACTTCAGTTGTGGATGGATGAATGTGAGCTGAAACATGAAGGCCTTGCTTAGCCTGGCCATAGATGGATCCACATGTGGCCAGTTCAGCACAGGCTGACCAACTTTCAATATATCTATGGTGGGTCCATCTTGACAGAAGTCAATCTAACATCCGATTTTTGTTGAATGGAGATGTTGGAAAGTTTTCATTCAATCAACGACTGCCGACAATTGGCTGCAGTGCTAATCAGTGTATTCTGACAGCGGAGGAGCCCCCCGCCCCTCTGCAAAATACAATAGCACAGCCGGGAGGATTCCTCCATCCACCTCGCTTGTGTGGATGGGGGAATCCATTCTTTTTGTCCCACCAGCTCTGTGGCTAATCAAAAATACCTAATCACCTATGGTGAGTCTTACAATTGTGGTTGAGGAACAGTAAAAATGTGTGTTTGATCCATGTTTTTACCGCCCTCTTGCCCAAGCACTCTCTCCATTAAGTTATAGAGAGGGGTGTGCGTACGCTGCAATCATGATGCATTGCAATATGGTAAAAATGATCCCCACTGTCAACTGAATGGGGGCGCCCCCGACAGTGTGCATTACTGGCTGGTGAAGGGTTTAAGGCAGAGGTCTCCAAACTGTGGCCTGGGGGCCGGATGCGACCCTTTGCCAGTCTTTAATTGGCCCTTGGGGCACTATTCCTCTGAAAGATACAAGGCACTACTCCTTCCACTGACACCAACAATGGTGGACTATTTCTTCCACTAATACCAATGATGGGTTACTATTATTTCCACTAATACCAATGACCAATGATGGGGGGCACTATTCCTCCCACTGATACCAATGGAGGGGCACTATTCCTCCCACTGATACCAATGATGGGGCACTATTCCTCCCACTGATACCAATGATGGGGCACTATTCCTCCCACTGATTGGGGCATTATTCCTCCCACTGACACCAATGATGGGTTACTATTCCTTCCACTAATACCAATGGGGGACACTATTCCTCCCACTGATACCAATGATGGGACACTATTCCTCCCACTGATACCAATGATGGGGCACTATTCCTTCCACTGATACCAATGATGGGTTACTATTCCTCCCACTAATACCAATGATGGGGCACTATCCTCCCACTGATACCAATGATGGGGCACTATTCCTCCCACTGATACCAATGATGGGGCACTATTCCTCCCACTGACAACAATGATGGGGCACTATTCCTCCCACTAATACCAATGATGGGGCACTATTCCTCCACTGATACCAATGATGGGGCATTATTCCTCCCACTAATACCAATGATGGGGCACTATTCCTCCCACTAATACCAATGATGGGGCACTATTCCTCCCACTGATACCAATGATGGGGCATTATTCCTCCCACTGATACCAATGATGGGGCATTATTCTATACCAATGATGGGGCACTATTCCTCCCTGATACCAATGATGGGGCACTATTCCTCCCACTGATACCAATGATGGGGCATTATTCCTCCCACTGACACCAATGATGGGTTACTATTCCTTCCACTAATACCAATGATGGGGCACTATTCCTCCCACTGATACCAAAGATGGGGCACTATTCCTCCCACTGATACCAATGATGGGGCACTATTCCTTCCACTGATACCAATGATGGGTTACTATTCCTCCCACTAATACCAATGATGGGGCACTATTCCTCCCACTGATACCAATGATGGGGCACTATTCCTCCCACTGATACCAATGATGGGGCCACTATTCCTCCCACTGACACCAATGATGGGCACTATTCCTCCCACTAATACCAATGATGGGGCACTATTCCTCCCACTGATACCAATGATGGGGCATTATTCCTCCACTAATACCAATGATGGGGCACTATTCCTCCCACTAATACCAATGATGGGGCACTATTCCTCCCACTGATACCAATGATGGGGCACTATTCCTCCCACTGATACCAATGATGGGGCATTATTCCTTCCCACTGATACCAATGATGGGGCACTATTCCTTCCACTGATACCAATGATGGGGCACTATTCCTCCCACTGATACC